GCAGGGTGAGAATCGGGCGAGTGTGGAGCAGGAGCGGGAGGATGAGCAGAGTGAGGATCGGCATAGTGAGCATCACCAGGAAAGCGAGGATCATTATAATTTGAGTGAGCATAAGGAGGGTGAGGTGAGGATCAGGATCGTCCCTGGAGGTTATCCCTCGTCGTCGTCGTCCTCGTCCTCCTCCTTCTCCTCAGCATCACCATCCACATTCTCGCTCTCGCCTCCTCTCTCCTCCCTCATCCCTCCTCCCTCCTCCGTCCTCCTTCGTCTTCCTCCTCGTCCTCGTGCTCGTCCTCGTCCTCGTCCTCCTCGTCGTCGTCGTCCTCCTCCTCTTCCTGTTCCTCCTTCTTATTCCTGGGGGCGCGGCAGTGGTCCGTGGGGCGATGTTGAAAAGGTGTCTCGAGCGACATGCCAGATATGGACACGCCCGGTGCGCCCGGTGTTTCCCTGGAAGCTGTCCCTGGGGTTGCGCTCCGGGCCTGTGCTGCGGCGCTCTTGTGCGAGGATGCCTCGGGCGATGGCGCTGGACTGGAACACGCCCGGCGCGCCCTGCGCAGCTCCCGGCATCGGAGTTCGGGGGCACGCTGGTGTCCATGTAGCAGCTTTTGCGAGGACGTCTCGAGCGCGAGCGCCAGCGCCAGGCGCATCCGGGGAACTGGTCCCCGGGAGCGCGCTGGGGACGGGTCGATCTCCGAAGAATTCCTTGGGCGAGAGCACCAGATTGGGACACGCTCGATGCGCCCGGCGCGCCCGACCGATCTGAGATGTCCAATGATAGTTTTGGTGAGTTATGCTGACGTGTGCTAACATTGGCGAAGTAGATCTTCGACCAACTTCCCATGACTACCACGTGTTTTTTTTCGTTATCCGCCTGGCTCTAGAATCATTGTACGTCAATTTCGCCCGAAGCATTTTGCATTGCCCCCTGGCCGTACCATTGGCTTGCGCGAAGTTCCCCCGTAACAAATTTATAGCACAAAATACAATGGAAAGCGCATGTGCGTGGTTGGATGCAGCGCATAATCTGGAGAATAAAGCGCTTGCGCGTACGCTTGAAGTAAGGAAGGCGATGCATTCGAGCGCTGGCGTTTGCTTAGCGCTTGCGCTTGATCGCCATCGCACCCGCACCGCTATCACCGCGCAGCCGGGTTTCGGCTCAGGACACCACGGTGCCCATAGCGTTTGTTGCGCCACAGGGCTGGACCTAATCGCTGTGTTGATGGACCTCGGCTGTGTTTTGTTTTTCGTTCTGGTAAGGAGGTACGGGAAAACAGGTAGAGCAAAACGAAACACTAAAGGAACACAACACGAAACATATCGTTTAGGTCCAGCCCTGTTGTGTCAGCCGCAACGGCTCGCGACACCGCGCGCGCGCAATCGCATGCGATGGTGGTCCACGTCGGCGCCGACAGCAAGAAGCGGCGTCTGATGATGCCGACCTCGAAGGTCTGCCGCCATGCACACGCCCACCCCGACGGCTGAGGGCCTTTGGTCCGCGGTCTCGGGGGAGTCGGCCCCGCCGCAGGACGATTGGCCAGGGATCACCGAGGACGAAAATCTGGCATGGCGCAAGAGCGCCGATGCGCGCTGGGCCTGGCGCGCGGCCGAGGAGGATGCCCAGTGCGCCCGCGGGGCGTGCGAGAAGGCGCTTGAGACGGGCCGAGAAGGATGCCCAACGCGCCCGCCACGCCGCGAGCAATGCCTACCGCGGGTACGTCGTCGCGCGCCACACCGCCCAGAACGGCGGGAATGCGTCCCATAATTTTCACTGTGGGCCCGTGCCGATCACCCGTGGTCGGCGCGGGCGCGCATGCGCACCCCCTGCCCCCCCCCCTCTCCTCCCGCCCCCCCGCAGGACGTGCGACGCCGCAGGGAGACCGCGCAGGCGAAGCGCTGATGGGGGCCCGCGCAGCGGCAACGTGACTTAGCGTTTGCGCTTGAATTGTACACATCCTGCGGTTGATGCACACGTAATTCTTTTTGCATATGTATGTATGTGTATATATGTTTGCATGTCTGTATGCATGTATGTATGTATGTGTACACATATGTAGATGAATATCGCTTGCGCTATCCACCCCGCTCGTCTAATTGTCCGACAACATTCTGCGCGCAGCGCCTGCCCGCTGCCCTTAGCGCCTCGCGCCAAGGCCCCCGCAGGCCAAGTCAGGTGAGAGGCGAACTTTGAAACGGATCCACCCCAAACACACAAACAAGTATATAGCAGTCTTGGTTCGGTGTCTTCAGGTGATTTGGTTCCTTCTCACGGTCGCTCAGACCGTTCAGCGCGCGCCGCGATGATTGGGATAGAAGCCCTCGTAGTGGTGGACGGCGTGGCCAGGGCGCAGCGTTGGGTTTGGATGGAGGATTGGAGGTCTTGGTTGCCGCTCACCTTAGTGATCCGCTTCCGCGGCGATTTCCCCTGGTCCCCAGACGTGCTGAGCGCGAAAAAGATATTGCTCAGCAGTGTATCGACCTTGCATGCCGCGTTCACCGCCAAAGACACGGGGGCGATCGTGGTCTGGTGCCTCGGGGCTTACGTGGGAATAAGTCCGAGGAGAGCTTCCGCCTCAACGAGGACCCGCGTCTGCCTGACAACTGGGCCATCAACGAGGGCTGGGCTTTGTTCGCCGCAGTGCGGTGGCCGATGCCCGACGGGGCCCTCGCGTGCGACTTCCAGAAGGACGCCGACTACGACTCCAGCAGCTACTGCCCTTCGAAGTGGGGCGACCGCGGCGTGGTGGGCGACTGCGGCGTGGGCCGACTGCGACGCGAAGCAGACGCAGACTGAGGGGCAGGACGAGGGGCGCGACCAGGATAGCGCCGACGAGAGCTCGCGCGAGTCCGCATCGAACAAATCGCTCCAGACCGTCGAGCACGGCGCGGTGGCCCACCGTTGCGCCGTCTATTTTTCGCGCTGTAGCGTTTCTTGCGCGGCGTGCCGCGCCGGATAACCGAGGGCGCTCAGCGTGCGCCTTGCGCACTGGGCTGGGGGGGTCGCGATATTGCGTGTTTGGGGTTCGAAGCGCTTGCGTTTCAAATGAGGTGTGGCGCAAGTCGGGCTCGAAGTGCTTGCGCTCGACATGGGGCAGGGTGTAGTTAGGGTTCGACGCGCTTGCGCTTGAAAAGGGTGGGGCGTAGCTAGGGCTCGAAACGCTTGCGCTTTCAAGGGAAGGCCGGGCATGGGATAGAGATGGGCGTGGTTGGGGGGCGACCGAGGGAGGGGGAAAGGGCGGGAGCGAACCCCGTCCTGTGCATGAGCCAGCAGGGTTCTCGAAGAGAGGGGCCATTTTTTTTGTAGCTTCGATTGTGCATGACTGCGCCTCCCTGTGCGTGCGCCGGGGAGGTGACTGTTACTCGACATGCCATCGTGATGCCTACGTCTTGCGTTTCGAGAACACTGGACCAGGACCGGGTGCAGTTAGGGTTCAAAGCGCTTGCGCTGGGAAGGGACAGGGCGTGGTCTGGTTTCGAAGCGCATGCGCCGGGAAGGGATAGACCTGTGAGTCCCACCACCAGCTGCCCACATCGCGCGGGCGCACGTGGCCTTTGAGAACTGATCGGGCATGAAAACGTCTTCGGGCCAAAATGCTCGATCGGCCGCTGGGCCGACGCCGTCGGCCCAAAGTGATCCGAAAAACGCTCTGACCAAGATGTTCAGCTGGTCAGTCGCTGCCCGCGCGCTCGCGCGTCCTTCAAGAACTACATCGCCTCCTCCTTTTCCGTCGCATCGGGGACACTGACTTCGGGGACGCGGGTATTGCGTCATTTACAAGATTGTCGGGTCTCGGGGGCGCGAGCATCGTGTAATTGCCGAGGTTCCGGGAACGCACGCATTGCGAAGTTTACGGGGTATCGTTGCTTCGGGGGCGCGACCTATAGTGTAATTTTCCAAAAGTTTATGACCTGTGGGACGCAAATGTTGTGAAATTCTCGGGGGTGGGTGGGTTGGGCCAGGGGGCACGGTCATTATATCGTTTGCAAGGGTGTCGGGTTCGGGGGCGCGAGTGGTGTGTAAGTTACCAGAAGATCATGGCCTCGGGGACGCGAGCACGGGGTAATCAACGAGGGCGTATGGCTCGAAAGCGCAAGAACTTCGTAAATGAATTCGATGGCATCGGGCACGAATTTCGCTGCAAATGGATTAAAAATGCGCCAGCTGCTTTGGAGGTGCAACCTCCGGTCATTGTGGGTTCCCCTTAGGGAGGGACTAGAAGAGAACACGGGCGGATCGCCTGACCAAGAAACGAGGAGGGAGGAATGATGAGTTCGAACACGGCGTGGCCTATGCCCACGACCCTGCGACCCCAGCCCGCGACGTGGTCTTGGCTACGCCCTCAACCCCGCGACCCTAGCCAGCAGCCCTGGCAACCCCAATGCGAAGCGCATTCGGCTACGCCCGCGATCCCGCGACCTTAGCCGGCGAGATGGCTTTGGTTACGTCCACGACTCCGCGACCTTGGCCGGCAGCCCTAGCAACCCTGGCAATTTTGGCCCGAAATAGCTACGCCTTCGCCCGATGTTTGGGGTGGAATCGTGGGGTCTTGGGCCTTGGGGAAAGTCAGAAGCCAAAGCCGAGGCCATTTGCGACTACACTGCCTGAAACAGTTTTTTGCTTTCCCCTCCTTTTCTGCCTCTGGGGGCCGTTTTTGGGCCCCGGGGTTGGAAGACTCTGGGATGAAACATTGCGCCAGATGGGATTTGAGTGGATTTCGGATCACCCACATCCTGATTGATTTTCTCGGACCCCAACCAGTTCAGACTCCTGGGCCGCCTCGACACTTCGCCTGCGATGACGACGATGATGCCGCCGACGACGACGACGCAATGAATCGGGAGGGGGAACACACAGACACAATGACTCGTCGACTCCCAGGAAACTATGGGAAACCCTGGGAAGTGGGGGGAAGACGAACCTCCAAGAACACATGGGCAAAAGACATGGGAATCCTTGGATTTGTGTCTCTTTGGTTGTGTGCCCCAGGGCTCCTTTAACGAAGGTGGTCGTGACGAGGACCAACAGCGACGGCACCTGCGACGTGGCCCGCGCAGGACCGGACGGGCGCCGCTACAGGAGCGTGCTCTACAAGTACCTGCGGCGCGAGGGCATGGGGCACGGCACCCGGGGCGCCATGATGAGGAAGAAGCTCTTCGAGAAGGCTCTGCGGGGGATCGTCTCTTTTTCTGGGCGCAGGCTCTGGAGGGGATCGTCTGTTTTCAGTGGGCCTCGAGCCCTGAGATCCTGGCGTTGCAGTCTTTTCGCCGGGCGCTGTCGCTCCACTTCGGGCCCCGGGACCCTCACGGATCAGTCCGGCTCGAGAATTGATGCAGGCAGATGGGGTCCGCGGAGCTCCAGCCGTGGTTTTTGCTCGATGCTGCAATTCTTGTTGCTGCAGCGTCGGCTCTCGGACAGGCCTCGAGGAGCAGGCTCTGGGGTCTTCGGACCCTCGGGGGCCTCCTCTCAACGCCACGGCTGGATAGCGCTCGAGGAGCTGGTCGGTGAAGGTCGCAGGAGGGGCCAGGGGACCCGTCCCGAGCGTTTTTTTTTGGGGGGGGGGGCTTGGGGGCGCCAGGGCCCTCGTCCGGAACACGCGGCTACATGCTTCGACCTCCTGATGCTCTTCGGGCCAGAGAGGTGCAGCTCGACGCCGAACGGGCACAGTCCGGTGCTGGGGCCGGGGTCGGAGCGGGGCGGTGCAGTGTGCCGATGCCGGTGCCCTCCCCTGGTTTTTGCTCGGCTTGGCCTCCGAAGAATCGGGGAGACGTAAGACTCGAGTAAGCCGGAACTCGGGTTTACCGACATTTTCTTGACGAGCGCGTCCTGGATTTTGGCGGTCCCGTTCTCGTGGGATGTCTGCAGCGGAAGCCCGCGTCAAATTTCAGAGTGGGCCTCGTCATTTTATGATGGTCCCCGTCAGGCCAAGCCGATTCCCCCGTGCCCGAGTCTTACGTCTCGCCGAAAGAACAGGATCAGGAGGGAAAGGAACACACAGACACAAATAACCGGCGATGTCCCAGAAGATGTGCGAAACTATAGGCAGCGGGGGGAAGACAGAAACCCCGAACATATGGGAAACTACGGGGGTTTTTGTTTTATTTGTGTGTCTTTCTTTGTGTGTCCTGGGGCCCCTCCACTTACCCAGACCCCCGACGTCATGATTTTTTCATGACGTCGACCCCCAGAGGTCCCGACCCTTTCCCCATGACCGGCTTTGCATCCTGAGTCGTCTTTTGACGCTCTCAAGGCCCGGTGAGGGCCCCCGGAGGCCGAAACTGAAGGAAAACCTCCCGTCATGATTTTTTCATTACTCGAGGAGGAGGAGGAGGAGGAGGAGGAGGAGGAGGAGGAGGAGGAGGAGGAGGAGGAGGAGGAGGAGGAGGAGGGAGGAGGGAGGAGGGAGTAGGGAGGAGGGAGGAGGGAGGCCCCCGAGAGAACGAGGGGCGACCTGGGCGCAGACTGTCGGAGGTGCGCCCCGGGGGTCTCGGGTCGGCCCTGGCACCCCCCCGGCGGCGCCTCTCGGCGCGGCTCTCGGCTCAACGTCGGGCCTGTCCCTCTACGGGGGGGATGTTCGGGGGCGGGCAGAGCCCCCCACAGATTTTCGGGGGCGGACAGAAGAAGGTAGGATTTTCTGGATTCCCGTATTCCCATCTGCTTTCAGCGCCTGTCTGCTTCAATGCTCGGGCGGCCTCACCTCTTCCGTCCTCCTGAGGGGGCAAGGGACACCCAAGCTACTTGCAACGCCTTCCTACTTCATTCGGGGGTGGACAGACCTCCTACCCTGACACGTCGATTAGTGAATTGTCCGTTTTCGGTTCTCGAGAGGGCGCCGCGGCCGTTATTTTCCAGGCTTGCGCCCGCCAGGTTTGGGCCGCAGGTCGTGTTCACTGAACCACGTTTTGCTAAAGGGAGGCCTGTCCATCCCCGAGATTTTCAAGCATAGTAAAAAAATGGTCTGGGGACGATTGCTTTTTTTACTATTTGTGCTGATGTTTAGACTGTTTCTCTTTTGGGTTTTTTTTTCGCCCACAATTCCCCTCTAAGGGGACAGGCCCGACCTAACTCTTGGTGCGTTCCGCGCGCCGGAGGGGTGGGGTCCAGCGCCGACCCAAGAACTCCGCGCGGACCTCAGACAGTTTGCAGTTGGGCCTCTGAGGAAGGAACCCATCTCGTTGGGGAGGGGCTCTGTGTTCCTTATGTGTTTTGCAGCTTGTCTCAGGTTTTCCTTCGGTTTTCCATTGGAAATAAAGGGGCCTGGCTGCTTGTGTGTAGGGTTCCTCATGACAGCGCTTCGACTGTATGCTTGTGTGGTCGGTCGGCCTTCTATTCTTGGGCCTCTTGGGGAGGCTCGTCGCCACGGCTGGAGTTGCCCGGGAATTCTGGGCAAGACGCGCTCCGGTAGAGGTGCGGGGAGCAGCGGCGTCGGCGTATCGTGCTCCCGGAGAGGCTCTGAACTTGCCCCCGATGTTCCTGATAGCCCTGCTGTGCTGCGTGCCGGTCCTCGCCGTGCTCGTGAACCTGATGTTCGAGACGGTCGATGCGCAGCTGGTGAAGCTCTACAGGGTCCACGCGGTGGCGTCGCTGGTGCGCTGGGACGACCACTCTTACGTGATCAGCACTGAGGACGAGGTCAGGAGGAAAAGAAACACACAGACACAATTCATCTGCGATTCCCCAGAAAATATTGGAAAATACGGGAAGTGGGGGGGAAGAGAGAAACCCAGAAGATATGGGAAAATATGGGGGATATGTTTATTTGTGTGTATTTATCTGTGTGTCCCAGTTCCCCTCCACGAGGGCCCGCCCTGGGCCGACGACACCGCGGTGAGGGCGAAGAAGGCCAAGCTCGCCGCGGACCTGAAGGAGTGGCGGGAGGCAGGGAACGTGGGGAGGTACAACCACCCGAGAGGTCTGGGCCGCTCGCCGCCGGTTCTCCCCCGTGCCCCAGCATTAGGTATTTTTGGATTCCCAGATTTTTGGATTCTCAGATTTTTGGATTCCCAGATTCCAATCTACTTTGAGCGCCTTCCTGCTTCAGGAGTCGAGTGGGTTTCCCTCTTCCCTCCTCTCCAGGAGGCGGGCGGAAATCCAAGCTATTTCCAACGCCTTCCTACTTCATGTTTCTACCTACTTCTTCCGACCGATGGGTACTTTAGCAGTGCCGAAACTCAAGAGTTTTCACGTGTCGGGCCCTGGGAGACGCTCGCCCGACACTGTGTCGACACTGTCTCGACACACTTTTGGCACTTTTCCGGGTGCTCGACATTATTTCTGGGATGTGGTTCCAAATAGGGTGGGAACAACATAACCCATGCCTTTGCATTGTGGAGGACGATCAATGGAGAGGAAGCGTGTTGCCACATAGTTTCCAGATGTCTAGACATCTGTTACACACGTTTTAAACACTTGTTTTAAACTATGTGAAACACATGTTTAAACAATGTTTAGATCGTTTTCCGACATTTTAAACGCACTTTAAATTCAAGGATAGGACTGTTAGGGTGTCCATTGTCGTGGCATCCACAACCTCAGCAGTCGGTTGGATGGCTGGTTTGTTGGCCCGGCGGCAGGCTGGATGGCCCGCTGATCTGCCTGCTGGCTGGCTGCCTTGCTGGATGGGCTGGTCCGACCTGCTGGCTGGCCAGAGGGCTGGCTGGTCCACCGCATCGCAGGGGTAGGCAGAGGACCAGGCGAGGGGAGCGGGCCGGGGAGGGCTCAGGGGGCCAGGGGGAGGAGGAGGCGGAGGATGAGGAGGAGGAGGAGGACCAGTGTAAAACCAAGAGTCATCGACGATGCTGGAATTAACCCTCCCTCCAAGGCGAGGGGACACGGGCAGAGGAGCGGATCAGGGAGGGGAGGGAACAAAGGGGAAGCGAGGAGGCCAGCGGAGAGGAGAAGCCAGAGAAGAGGATGGGTCTGCGGGAGGGGAGTGGACGTTTGGCCAGCTTGGGTCTCTTGGCCAGCTTGGGGCCCTCTTGGCCCATCTGGGTGACATCTCAGGGGGCTCTTGAGCCACCTCGGAGGCCTCTCTGGTTGTCCTGGGCTGTCGGGAGCTCGAACATCAGGAGGGGAAAAACACACAGACGGATCGTCGACTCCCAGGAAGATATAGGAACATATGGGAAGTAGGGGGGAAGACAAAAACCCAGAACATAGGAGACACTGTGGGGGATATTTCTATTTGTGTGTATTCATGTGTGTGTCCCAGGGCCCCTTCAACAAAAGCACGAACAGGCGAGAACCCGATAAAGTGTGAATTGCACCAGGGTGAAGTTCTTAACATGTCCAAGAGCACTCCACGCCTGCTCGCCGCGGCGTGATGCCTGACGCTCTACGTTATGCTTCTTTATATATGCTGTCTGCGTCCTCGACCCTCCAATGTTTAGTATATCTCTCGCTCTCTCTCCCTCCGTTTCTCCATATTATGTTTGCATCTCTCTCTCTCTCTCTCTCTCTTTCTGTCTGCGTGCATCGCTGTGTATATCGCTGGGGGGTCTGTATCCTGGATGGGTGTAGAGGAGGACGGCGTCGACGACGATGAGAAGTCATGCTGCTAGCTGCTGTTCACTTTTTCTCTGGGCGGCACGCGCGGTTGTTGTCCACTCGGGCAGCGGGATCTAGACGGGAGTCCGTTCCGCGCTTTAGCCAGTGGAACATGTATTTATACATATATAAATATATATGTATTAAACATGTGTTTATGTTTGTACATGTGTATATATATATGCATACGTAGATGCAGATGAGCATGTGCATGAGTATGCCAATGTATATGTCTATGTCTAGGTGGACGTTTATTTCTATGAAGACGCACGTGTTTGTATGAGTGTATAATTTCATGTGCATGTGTACTTGCAGGTGTTTGTATGGGTGCATAGTTACATGTGCATGCGCACGTGCATGCTTATGTATGTATATTACATATGTATACGTACATATATGAATGCACACCTGTATGCGTATCTGTATGTATGCATGCATGCATGTCTGCCTGTATGTATAGGCATGCGTACATGTAGATGCAGGTGTGCCTGCACATGTATAATTATATGTACGTGCATGTGCATATGTACATGTATATACATGTGCACGTATATAAAGATATATCGGAGATACATGTACATGTACATGTATGTGGATCTGCGCATGTGTACGTATAGATGTATGCACGTGTGTATGCACTTATAGGTATTGGCACAATTGTATGCATGCATGTACGCAGACATGCATGTATGCATGCATGTGCATGTACAGGTATGTATGTACCTTTATGTATGGATGCATATGCATGTAAACATGTACGTATGTATGGATTCGATTGTTCATGGTTGTACACGTGTATGCAGGTATGTACATAAACACTCGCAACTGTGCATTCATATGCCTGTGCGTATATGGATGTATAAATGTATCGATGTCTGGATGTATGTATGTATGTATGTATGTATGTATGTATGTATGCGTACACACATATACATGTATGTAGGTATTAATGCATGCATGCACGTGTGTAGATATGTATGTATGTATGCAGGTCTGTATGCATGCATGCGTGTATGCATGCATGTACGCATGTCTGTGTACACGTACATATGTATATATGCATGTCTGGTTGCATGCATGCATGCATGCATGCATGCATGTATGCATGTATGTATGTATGTATGTATATAGGTATGCCTGCCTGTATGTATGCATGCATGCATGCTTGCATGCATGTATGCGTGCATGTATATCGACATATATGTGTCGATGTACATTGAGCGGAACTCTCAGACCCTCTCCTGAAACGGGTCCTCCCCGATCTCTGGTCCTTGGGCCTTCTGGACGCTCCTTGACAGGGTCACCTGGCATTTCTGGGCCTGGGTGCAAACGGCCCACCCGCGGTGCCTCAGACTCCTCCAGGACGGTCCAAGAGGGTCCTGAGACGTCCCATGAGCGTCCCGAGAGGGACCCAGATGGCCGCAAGACGGCCCAAGAGAGCCCCAAGACGCCCGCAGAGGCCTTGAAAAGGACCCCCCCCTTAGGAAAACCTGCGCGTTCTTCACAAGCGCGCTGTTAGTTGTAGTAGCGTCCAAGACCGCCCAAGGCCGCCAATGTCGCCCCAAGATGACCCAAGAGGGTCCCAAGAGAGCCCCAAGACGGCCCAAATATGGCCCAAGAGGCCCACCAAAGGCTCCCAAGAGAGGCCCAAAAGGGTTATGGGAGACTTCCAAAGAGGGCCCAAGATGGCCCCAAGACGGCTTCCAGAAGGCCCTTGCCCCCCAAGACGACCCGAGAGGGCCCCAGGACGGTCCAAAAAGCTTTCAAAAGGCCTGACAGGCCCCCAAGGTCGCCCTAAGACGGCCCAGTAGGCCTTCAAGAGCGCCCTCTGACGACCCAAGAAGGCCTCCAGACGGCCTAAGATGCTCCCAAGACTTGCCCGAAAGCTCCAAGACTCCCCCCACATTCCCCACTAGGCCCCGGATAACCTGATAACCTAAACGAGCCAGAAGAGTCCAAAACCCTCCGCGACTTCCGAAGACCTCCTCCCAGGGATGGTTTTTCACCCTGCGGACGGCAGAGGATCGAGGTTCGAGGTTCGACGATCAAGGTTTTCCAGCTGTCTTCCGTCCTCTCGGAGCCTCCGGCGTTATGTTGGCCATTGTCTTGTGTCCCAGCACTCAGAAGCTCTAAGCTCACGGTTCTGAGTACAACAATTTTCTTGACGCTCAGAGATTTGCGGTTCACGAGAGCGAGTTCTGTAAGTTTCTGATGTCTGATTGACCCGAATTGCCGAGTTGCAGAGAAGTATGCTGCATTGCTCAGAACTGAGCTGCCAAGTTGCTGAAATCCGGTCATCGCAACCTGGTTGACCCCGCACGGAGGCTGGCGGAGACGCTCCTATACCGATTTACATGGCAAAGGAGGAATTATAGGTATATCGAGTGCGGGAGCGAAGACCATGAACCGGCCTACAAGATCGCAGCGATCATCGAGCCGTACGTGAGTTTGGTCAACCAGGGAATTCTGAGCAACAGCAACTCTGATCCTCTTGCCGTCGTGCAGCGCATGCTTAACGAAGCGGGTTTGACCAACATGCCACCCGAGATGGCCGAGCTCGTCCTCATGCTGACCGAGGGTATTGAGGAGGGGAAAAACACAGAGACACAATTAATCGTCGTCCTCCAGGAAAATATGGGAACATGAGAAGTGGGGGGGAAGAAGCAAAAAACAGGAAGACATGGGAAAATATGGGGAATCCTGTCATTTGTGTGCATTTGTATTTGTGTGTCCCTGGGCCCCTTCAGGCATGACCGAGAAGTTGGGCCAGGGGGGCCGCCTACCCCTGGACAGGCAGAACTTGGGGTACCTGATCTGCGAGGCCAAGCTTGAGTCGGGCATGTCCCTCTACAGGAGGAACACTTAAACATAGTCAAAACATAGCCACGGGACGTCTTTTTGAGTATTTTTGCCTACTTGGGGGCATCCTTGATGTAGTTTTGTAGTTTTCTTCCAACATCCCCCCGTAGGGGGACATGCCCGACCTAAGGCCAAGCTGCTCCTCAGGTGGCACGGCTTTGGCACGACGGTCAAGACGCTCTTGATCCCCAAGCCAGAGAACGAGACGTACCTCAAGGTACAGAACCTCACCGTGGCCATTGTCAAGGACGTGTTCTCGCAGCTCACGGACTACGTTGAACGCAGGTTCATCGAGGGGTGGTACGCTGCCCCCGCGAAATACGTCCTCCAGCGTCTCGAGGTTGCGGTGACGATACTTGCGCGGGACCCCAGCCAGAAAGGAGTTGATGCCGCCCTGGAGTCCCTTTTCCCAGGCGTCGTGATCGAGGTGATCCAGCGCATTGCCCGCGGAGAGTGCGTTGACTTGAAGCTGTTGATGTCATCCCTCGACAAGGACGGCGACGGGGCGCTCGGGATCAACGACGAGGCCCCGGACCTCGTCAGATTGGTCATGGGGGCCTGCCAGCACACGAAGGGTACATGCCCCGCGAACGCGGAGGTCCAGATGTGGAAAGCGTTACACGCAGCAGATTTCAGCCCGAAGGATGTCAGAGGAGGAAAAGGTACCCATACCTCTGCCCTCCCCTCGCTTTGCCCTTGTCGGGCCTCCTCGGAGGCCCTCGTCGCCACCGTTGGATTCGCCTCGAAATCCTGGTCAGCACGCACCCCGGGAGAGGTCCGGGGAGTAGCAGTATCGGTACCTATTCGGCACGAACGAAATGGGTACGGAAAGAATGGGTACAATGCCCAACAGCAGTTCCTGCTCATTTTGAACAGGACTCGCTGTCCGCGCCGCCGCGGCCTGTGTCCATTTGAGACAGGAGGCAGCCTGCCCAACAGCGGCCGCTGTTGGTTTGGGACCACATTTGTTGTGAGGCATTGTGCCCATTCTTTCCGTGCCCATTTCGGGCGTCCAAACTTTTGGTCTCCCCAGGATGGGCGCATCACGGTGGAGGAGTTCCGGGCGGTGGCACAGGCAGTTCAGACGCTCCTGCAGGCGCAGCAGCAGGGCGCGTCGGGGGTCTGCGGCGCTGGAGACGCGGCGGGGCTGCTGGACGTAGCCAAGGATTCCAGGCCTCCCCCTCCCCCTCGTCCTCCTCCTCCTCCTCCTTCTCATCTCCCTTCTCCCTACCCCTCCTCCTCCTCCTCCTCCTCCTCCTCCTCCTCCTCCTCCTCCTCCTCCTCCCACCAGCTGAGGCCCGAGCAGAGGGGCTCGAGGCGGGGCCCAACCTGTTCCACCCTGACGTCGCCAGTACATCGCCGGCGTCGCCAGTGCATCGCCGATGCATCGGCGATGCGGCGCGACCCTCCGACCACATTCAAGTCGGGCCTGTCCCTGTACAGGAGGAATATCCAAAAATAGTATAAAAAATAGTCTGGGGCCTATTTTTTTGGGGGGGTCATTCTTGAGCATTTTGGGGAGCATTTTTCTGCGTATGTTGAATTGCCGTTCAAAATCCCCCTGAAGTCAAGGGCATAAAAAACTCCCCTACCCTGGTTTCCGAGGCTTTGTGCGCTGAAACTCCTGTGGGTTGACAGGGTAATCCCTGCGTGATGTGCCGCGTCCTGGCGGCTCCAGGCTTTGGGGGTCCCCAGGAGGTTCACAGACCGCGCGCTTGTAACCCAGGGTAGGGTCGCCTTTTCATCCCTCAATGTAGGGGGACAGGCCCGACCTGAGACCACATCTGCTCCGACCCACACGAGAAGCCCCGCAGGACGTCCTCGACGCGGACGGCGACGGCGGCGTCGGCGCGCAGGAGGCGGCGGACGCGGCGAGGGCGCTGCAGGCGGACGACCTCGGCCCGACTATGCTGTCGTTCTTTGATGCCTCTCGCCTCGCGGGGTGCACGTCCGGAGTACAGTACCGTTTTTAATACGGTAGGTTTGCGTCGTGTCGACCAGCGGCGACCCCAGCGCGGGCGTTCAAGGTTGAACGCCGCCGGCGACCCAGAATCGATCGATGTTGAACGATCGGACGTTGCGGCAGCGGCCGATCGTTCAAGGTTGAACGATCCCTGCGGTGTCAAAAACCAACGCTGGGGTCGGCACGACACGAACCTGCCGTACATGCTCCGCGTGCGGATCATGTATGAACAATGCAGGGCTTTAGTATTAACAACAGCGATGAATTCATGCACAAATTTCTTCATACATGAATCATGGATTAAACATCTCATATGTTTCAAATCGTATGTATTTAAAACTGCCCTGTACGTACAGTCGAGTCGTCTGTTTCGTCGTGCTCGCCCCCTCTTCGAGCGGGGTCCAGGTTTCGAGTGCTAGGGCTGGCATCTTCTGTGTGGGGTGCAGTGCTGTTGGCCCAACTTCTCGCACGCTGTGCTTTGCTTTCCGCCGTCGGCTTCCATCGCTTGGGATGGTTGCCACGGGAGCGTGGTCGTTCATTCGTCTTCGCCGCCGGAGACCCTGAGCACTCACAGGGGCCCCCGAGATCTCTTAAAAGGATTACGTACAGTCAAGTCGTTTTAGGGTTTCTCGGGAGTTTCGTGGGGGCGTCTTGGGCCGTCTTGGGGGGCTCTTTCGCCTCTTGGCACCTCTGGGGGCGGGGCTGGTGGCCATGTCGGAGCCTGTTGGGCTGTTTCGTTGGGGGCCTGTGCAGGCAATCGTTCGGCCTCTTTGGGATGTTTGTAGGGCTGCCTTTCGGGGCCGTCGAGGGGCCACGTTCGAGGCTGCTTCGGCCGTCATGGCCTTCGAGAGGTAAAACAATGCGAGAGCGCCAAATCTTCTCGTCATTCTCCTGTCCTCGTCCCACTCTCCTGCTTCCTCCACTTTCTTCCCTCTCCTTCTTCCTTTTCAGTATGCTTCTTCCTCTGATTCCTTTTCCTCCTGCCTCCTCCGCTTCCTCCTTCTCCAGCCTGCTGTTGCTTCTCTTTATCCTGCATTATTATCTTTCTCATCGTGTTTCCTTTTTCCTCCTGTGCCTTCCCTCCCCATTTCCTCGTCCTTCTCCTGTTTCTTTCTTCTGCCTCCCCTCTCCTCCTCACTTTCTCAGTCCTCGTCTTCCTCCTCCTCCTGCCTCTTCAATCTCCTCCTCTCCCTCTGTCGGCCTCCTCCAGCCTCCTCCTGCTCCCAGCCCTCGTTCTCTACATGTTTCTTCCTGGGGCCTCCCGCCTCCTGGAGGTGACTCTTTCCTCCTGGAGCCTCCGGGCGCCTCCTGGAGCTTCTTCTTTGGATGTCCCTTGACTCTGGCTTCTTCCACTCAATGGTTGGTTTGTGGACGTGAGTTTCCCCCTTGATTCTTCCCTCCTAGAGGCTTTTTGGGGATATCTTGGAGGCCTCTTGGGGGCTTCTTGGGCCCCTTGGGGGCCTCTGGGGGGCCTCTTGGGGGCGTCTTGGGCGCCCTGGTGCTCTCTTGGGGTCCTTTTGGGACGTCTTTGGGGTCTCTTAGACCGTCTTGGGGGCTTATTTGGGCCGTCTAGGGGCCCTTTTGGGCTGTCTTGGGGCCTTCTTGGGGGCTTATTGGGCCGTCTTGGGGCGATTTTGGGGGCCTCTTGGACCGTCATGCGCCTTTGAGAGTCGAGAAAGGCGAGAACGCTAAAACCGTCAAACAACCATCGGCAAATCAATGACATGAAAGCCGCGGTTCGGTCCGGTCCGGTTCGGTTCGATGTGCGACCGGTTCGGTTCGACCGGTTCCGGCTCGCGTCGCAAACCGGTTCGGTTCGACCGGTTCGGTTCTTTGTCGTAGACCGGTTCGGTTCGACCGGTTCGGTTCGGCCGGTTCGGTTCTACCGGTTCGGTTTTATGTGTTCCGACCGGTCCGGTTCGGCCGGTTCGGTTCGGTTGGTTCGGCCGGTTTCGCATCCATGCAGAGGCGATTTCAGTCAGCCCGATTTCGATTCGCTTCGATTCCAGGCCGTCCCGATCGGCAGCCCCGACGGGGTTGGGGACAGTGGGGGCGAGGGAGGAGGAGGAGGAGGAAGAGGAGGAGGAGGAGGAGGAGGAGAAGAAGGAGGATGAGGAGGAGGAGGAGGAGGACGAGGACGAGGACGAGGACGAGGACGAGGACGAGGACGAGGCCGGCCCGTTCGGCGTCTCGCGCGCTGCCCCAGCGGGGCCGCTGCAACGGCCGAGGTGCCGCCGCTGGCCGCCGCTGGCCGCTGGCCGCCGCTGGCCGCTGGCCGCCGCTGGCCGCCGCTGCACCTCCTCCTCCTCCTCCTCCTCCTCCTCCTCGTCCTCCTCCTCCTCCTCCTCCTCCTCCTCCTCGTCCTCCTCCTCCTCCTCCTCCTCCTCCTCCTCCTTCTCTCGTTGAGGCTGTCTCTGCAGACCGGCGGCCTAGACTGCTGGCAGAGCTCTCGGCGCTTGCACACCCGCCACCAAAAGCGCCCGGCAAGATCGGAGAAGGGCGAGTTGAGACACTGGAACTCCAAATCTGCTCAAACTCGGTCTTCGGACCCCTCCCGGGGTCCAGACGCACCAGTTTTCCGAGCTGCGTCCAGCCGTGGCGACGAGGAGCTTCTCGAAGGCCAACTACCGGTGTCTCAAACGATGAAGAAAACGCAAGAAGATAATCGCGCTTCGCGCGTCGCGGCCTGGGCCGCAGAATTGCATGTCTCCAAGGAGGCCTCGCGAGGGCGCGAAGGTAACCGCGCGACCGCGACCGCGACCGCGACCGCGACCACGACCACGACCACGACCACGAGCACCACGACGACGACGGACGGGGGACCACGACGACGGACGGGGGGGTGACGACGGACGGGGGGGGGGGTCCGGACCAGGGGCGGGGGGGTCCGGACCCAGGGGGTCCGGACCCAGGGGGTCCGGACCCAGGGGGTCCGGACCGGGGGGGTCCGGACCCAGGGGGGTCCGGACCCAGGGGGTCCGGACCCAGGGGGTCCGGACCCAGGGGGTCCGGACCCAGGGGGTCCGGACTGTGGGCTCCTCTTGGGGCTCTCTTGGGTCGGGGGGACGTGCGGTTGACTGCTGCTGGGGTGGTCCCTCGGGACCCGGGTACCCCGGAGGCGGCCCCCTGCCCTCGCGCGGGGGGGCCGCCAAAGGGGCCCGCCTTCCAGCGGTCAGCCAGGTTCGCCCCCCCCAGGCGTTCAAGGTTGAAGCCTGGCGTCCGAGGTCTGGGTCTGGACCTCCACGGCTGAAAGTTCCGTAGCCATTTTGGTTCGAGAGCCGCTGTCGTCGAAGCTGTGTCGGCAGTTGTCCCCGGCTTCCTGGCTTCTGTGAGAGCTCCCCTTCCTGCGCCTTGGCTGCGATGCGTTCGGCGCGAGGGGCGCACCAGTTCTTCCACGAAAAACGTCCTCTGTCCAGCAACTATCGGTTCTGCAAGATCTGCTGGCCGGACGAACAACCTGTTGTGCTCAATGTGAAAACTCTCATGGACTCAGGCTTCATGCCGTCAATGGAATATGACGGGTGCGTGTGGCAGGAGAGCTCCACGGGCTCCATGCTGCGGCATCTGCGGCGTTTTCACGCCGACGAGATCCCGGAGAGTCTGCGCGAGCACCCCCGCGAGGAGGGTTGCGCCGTGCGGCGTGTGGACCACGACCTCACCCGGGAGTGGGCCGTCATCATGGTCATCAAAAACCTGATTCCCGTGCGTGTTGCAGACGACGCCCGGGACGGGATCACCCGCTTGAGCCAGCTCGGCGGCCGCTCTGTGATGACGCAGGAGGTCGGCCGCACCATCGACGGAATTGTTGCGGAGTCCAGGGCCGCTGTGCGGGCAGCTGCAGAGAAAGGATGTCGTTTTGCTATCGGATACGACAGCTGGAAGACAAAAGGTCTCTGTCCGAAACATTTCAACGCCATCATCGTCGACTGGTGCGACCTGGAATTCGAACGCCACTCGGTCGTCCTCGAGGTGTTCCACATGGTCGGCCGTAAGAATGCTGCCTCTTACAAGTCAATGTTGGAGAAAGCTCTGGCTGCTGCCGGCCTGACGCCAGACCACATCGTCTGCGGGCTGTCCGACCACGAAGCGGCCCCGCGAAAGGGCATTCGCGACTTGGGCTTGAACGCCCTTGGGTGCGGGTGCCATCTGATTCAGTTGGCGGGAAAGCACAGCGTCCCGCCAGCGAGGCCGAAAAAACGTCACGCCAAGGCGAGTTCTTCTTCAACGGAATCGAGTTCAGGTTCGACCAGCTCCACGTCTTCGTCATCGGCGGCCGCGGCCGCCCCCGCCGTGGCCGCACCCGCCGCCGCCGCGGCCGCGCCCGCCGCCGCCGCGGCCGCACCCGCCGCCGCCGCCGCGGGGGCTGCTGCCGGCAAGAGAAAAGCTGACCCCGCAATGTTGGCCATTCGCAAGGTCATGGAGCCTGTGTGTAAAAAAGCTCGTTCCATTGTGAAATACTACCACCGCAACGGCTCCGAGTACGACGCCTTGGTTTCAGACGCGGCGTCCCAGAGCCCGCCCGTGCCGACTTGCGCATTCGCGCAAGAAGGCGAGACTCGCTTCTCCGGCACCCTGTTGTCCTGGGTCTCCCTGATCAAGAACGCCAGGGCTCACAACCTCACTCGCGGCCTCCACCCCAGGCGCTCTGCCCCAGAGCCCCTGGACGAGCCCAGCGTCAGGGAGCTCGTCGACATTTGTTGCGCCATGGGGCCGCTCCTGACGGCGACGCGCACCCTCGAGGGGGACGCCAACAAGGGCACCATTTCCTTGTTTCTCCCTGTTCTCCATCAGACGCGCGGGGCGTACGAACCCAGGGGGTCCGGACCGGGGGGGTCGTCGTCGGCGCCTTCCTCCGCCGCCGTCGTCGTCGCCTTCCTCCGCCGTCGTCGTCGCCTTCCTCCGCCGTCGTCGTCGTCGCCCCGCGCGCGCCCGCCAGCCAGGTGCTCGTCTTCATGGGTGTCTTCATGGGTCCTGGGGGTCCTGGGGTCCCGGGTCCTGGGGTCCTGGGAAGTCCAAGAGGATCCTGGATTCAGGTCCCGGGGTCTTTTGAGGTCCTGGGGTCCTGGGTTCAGGTCCTGGGTCCTGAGGTATTTTAAGGTTCGAGCGGGTCCTGGGGTCCTGACTCCGGTTCGGACGGTTCGGTTCCGCCGGTCCGGTCCGGTTCGGCCGGTTCGGTTCCGCCTGGTTGGCCGGTTCGGTTCGGCCCGTTCGGTTTCCGCCGGTTCGGTTCGGCCGGTTCGGTTCGCACAGCGGGCCGGTTCGGTTCGGCCGGTTCGGTTTGGCCGGCCGGTTCGGTTCGGCCGGTTCGGTTCCAGACCCGGTTCTCGGTTCTCGGTTCGGTTCGCGGCCATCATGCAATGATTTCGGCCTTTGGAGGCGCAGTTACTCTACAACCTGCTGGGGACACAGGGAGCGGAAGCGAGCGTGTGCCCGCGGCCGCGTCGGCTCAAGCGGCCGGCCGCCAAAATATGACTGCGCCTCATTGCGAGGCATGCGATTCGCCATCGGGACCAAAAGGATCTTCCTACTGCTTAAGATGGTACGCCCTCTACTATTGGGATTATTCAATCGCTACTGCGGTAGAACAGAGCTGGGGCTGGGCTTCGCCTAAGGCGAAGGTGTTGGTTGGGCCTCCCAACCCTTCTCCGACTTGGTAGCGGAGCTGGCCTATGGTGGTCAGCTCTAGCTCTACTCCTCACCATCCACGGCACACTATCTGGTGGACTACAGGCATGGTGGAACATCAGGGTGCAGTGGGCTTGCGCGGAGGAATGTATATAACTACGCACGATCGCAAGAACACCTGCAGTGACACCTCTGCTGACGCGGAGGCTTCGTTACTTTCGTCCTACATCCCTGCGCTACTTCACTCCCGAAGTCCACCCACCTACTCCAATGTGAAATTGCTTCGGAGACATAATGCATGGAAACATGCGATACGATACGGTGCCGCCTCCACCCCCACGCAGACTCACGACTACACAACGGAAGCCCCGACCGACTACATCCGACCACGACCTGAGAGGTCATTGGGTTGGGGTTGCTATCTCTGGGCTCGCGTGGGTCGCTATCTGTTAAATGAACCCGTCTCAAACCCTCATCTCCAATCCTCACTCGCCTGTTTGCTCGCCTTTTGGGCTCAGGTATTTAAATCGGGACGCTGATCGCACAGAAGGAAAAGATCCCTATCTTTCCCTCCTTCCTTTGCCTACGGATCAGGGGTTCTGTGCCTTTGTACTCTAACCCCAGACACAGGTTATCAGCCCTTAGAGCTCACCATTCACCGAACCCTGCGTCGCGATCTCGCTCGCAGCCCCGATGGACCCCCCGCGGCGCATGCGCCGTAAGGGATCCTTCGCGGCTCAGCGTCCGAGGTCTCCGACGGCGCGACGGCTCGGCGATGAGTTGGAGAGCCTTGGAGGCGACCGCGTGGGTGTCCCATATACCCCCCCCCCCCCCCACGCACACAGCTCCGACGGACCCGAGGCGCGTCTAGCGGCTGAACTTCGCCGCCGCGCCGCCCACGGGGGACAGGAGAAGGAATGGGAGCAGGCATTGGAGGATTCCACACGCCTGCCTTCGATCCTCCATTTCCTCTTCCTACGTCGGGAGCAACCCCCACTGCGTCGGGCGCGAGCCCCGCTGGCCCCGATACTTCTGGGCGCTTCCGCGCAAACCGCCGTTGGAACAGTAGTGCCGGCCCAGCCAGCCCTGCCACCGTCCCAGCGTCGGCACGCGCGGCCGCTTTCGAGGAGCTCGGTAGACCAGTGGCGGCACAGCCGCAGACGCAGCATCCATCATCATCTCATCCGACACCACACACACGGCCCTAGCCGCAGCTCGTCCATGCGTAACCGTCGCGAGGCCACAGGCTCCATCCGACGAAAATAGGTCGAGCCCGCGCGCAGCCTCTCAGAGGCCACGCACTCCTCGCGAGAGGATGCATCAGGGAGCAGACGCCGCTCCTCACCTCTTTCTCTCAGACGACGTGCCGGCGGCTACGCCCGCTGCAGGTGATTGTGCTGAGCTGCGAGACCAGGTTGAAACCTTCGTGTCCAGGCAGTGCTCTGGACTAGTGCAGAGCGTTCAGGCGAACGCCGCACACAATGCCGCTCTTCGTCAAGGCTTCGACGGCGCTTAAGCGATCATAGTTTCCAGGATCGCTGAAGATCGTCGTATCCTAGGAGAGCTGCAGTTTCAGGTTGACCGTGAAGTGTCACACTCAGGTGAACGGTCCGCGACGGTCGATCACTTGCGCAACTACCTTGTGCAGATGGGGCAGCAGCTTGTTGTCGTCCGCGACACAGGCGTTTCTGCGGTCAGGAGCTCGCACGACGAGATCCATGATCAGCTGCGCAAAGAACCACCTCCGTCCGAGGCACACGACCTCGGTGACGTCCAGTCCCAAATCAATGATATTCGATCAAATGTGGAACACACTACGGCTACGCCTCGTGCTGAAGCAAGTACCAACTCGTCGACCCTGATCGGCGCGTTGCAGAATACTGAGAGAGCCATCGCTCAGCGGCTTGATGCGACCAACGCTGTCGTGCAGCCCCTCACTGACCGGATCTCTGTGATCGAGCAGCGTTTGCCTGGTGTACAGGGCGCCCTGGCAGAGTTGCGTGTTGGACGAGCCCAGACTGGCCAGCTGGGATCTCCTCCTACGGTTTACGATTTCGCCCCCTTCACTGACAGGTTGCAGGAAGTTAGGACGGCGGCGGACCACGCGCAGTCTGAGCTCTCCCAGGCCCTTCGGGACAGAAATGCTGGACAAGGTACGCGTTGAGGAGTGTCTCACACGTCTGGAAAGTGAATTGGAGGCGCGCAACGCCCGTCTCCGAGCTTACGAGCAGAGACTTGACCGGCATTCCCAACGCTCTCGGGGCACTGACGAGGAGATCACTTCGTCCAAGCAGGATTTACGATCTGCACGCCAACAAGTGGACCAAATACACGAGGACATGACGAACTGGACGAATCTACTGATCGACCACACCAACGACACTACACTTCACCCCCCAGCCGTCGCCAGGCCTTGACAGGCCGACGGCGACGCCTGCTGAAGCATCACACGCTTCTGCGGGACAACCATGACGCACGTCACAAGGAGCAGCCTCAGCGGCGGCTTCTGCACAGACACGCCGCGTGTCCCCAGCGCGCACATAACCAACCACGGACGGTGCACCGGTACCCTCAGAACCACTGTCTGCGGTTTCGTTTAACAATGCTACTCCTATCAAGGAGTCCGACGCCGCACGAGCCCCAGCCTTGCCCAAAAGCACACAGCTGCTTGAATGGCAGCAAAAGGCACGGAAGAACTTCGGCGCCGCCTCAGGGCGCCCCTCAAAAGCATACGCCTTCTTCTGCGTCGCCGAACAGCCCGAATTTATGCTGCATCCTCGGGGGGCCTTGTCTGTCCCACGAATGCCAGTCTTTCTCCTGTCCGCGTCGAAACGGTGTCGAATCGATGTCGGATCGATGTCTTTACATGCTTGCCAGCCGCGTGCATCGTCGGCGCGCCCGCCTCTTCGTGGCGCGGCGCCGCAGCAAGCGCGCGTTCCACGTCATAGTTCCGGCTTATGTTCCCCTTCTAGTTTGCGCGCCCCCCTTCGCCTTCGTCGCTGTCTGCGCCCGTCCCTGGTCATTTTCTCCACCTCGTCACGTTGCCCCCAGAAGGAGTGAGAGCGTGCGACGGTCGTGGATGTTATCTACTGGTCTTCGGCCCATCCCACCAGCGTGGCTGGGTGGTGGGTGAGAGGCTTCTTGAGTGTTCGCTGGGCTGTCGCGGTGGACCTCCTGGGGGCTTCTTGGAGCCCCTGGGCTTCTGGGGGGCCGTTTTGGGGCCTCTTGGGGATTCCTTTTGGGAGGTATTGGGGGCCTCTCGGGGCATCATGGGGGCTTCTTGGGGCCCTAGCGCTTCGCGCGCTCCCCGCCAACCCATCCAGAAACGTAGTAGTAGTAGTAGTAGTAGTAGTAGTAGTAGTAGTAGTAGTAGTAGTAGCAGTAGTAGTAGTAGTAGTAGTAGTAGTAGTCGTAGTAGTCGTAGTAGTAGTAGTAGTAGTAGTAGTAGTAGTAGTAGTAGTAGTAGTGGCAGTAGTAGTAGTAGTAGTAGTAGTAGTTGTAGTATTAGTCGTAGTCGTAGTCGTAGTCGTAGTCGTAGTCGTAGTACTAGTAGTAGTAGTAGTAGTAGTAGTAGTAGTAGTAGTAGTAGTAGTAGTAGTAGTAGTAGTCGTAGTCGTAGTCGTAGTCGTAGTCTTTTTATTAGTAGTAGTAGTAGTAGCAGTAGTAGTAGTAGTCGTAGTCGTAGTAGTCGTAGTAGTAATATTGATAGTAGGCGTAGTAGTAGTAGTCGTAGTAGTAGTAGTTCTTGTAGTAGTAGTAGTACTAATCGTAGTCGTAGTAGTAGTAGTAGTAGTAGTAGTAGTAGTAGTCGTAGTAGTAGTAGTAGTCGTAGTAGTAGTATTAGTAGTAGTAGTAGTAGTAGTATATATTATATACGTGTATTCATTGGATCAGGGAAGGGCGATGCAAGCCCAGGCCGATGTCGCGACTTGCCTTCGATGCCGCCGTCCGCTGAAGGCGGGGCGGCCTAGGCTGGCGCCGGACGAACTGGTCCGAGCGCTCGCTCTGGCGAGGAGAAGGCTCAATGAGGAAAAACGGTTGAGGAAAAAGGCAGAGCGGGCCCTGGAGTTAGAGCGAGGGCCGAGGGCCATTAACCGCATCAACAACATTTGGTGCGTACGTGCGGCGTTGTCTAAGCCGTCCGTGCCCGCCCAAACTATATCCGAAATTTGCAGCGTTTTTTCCTTGTTGAGCAAAAGCAGATTAGCCGCGCGAAGATATGCCAAGCACAGGACGCATTCGTGGAGGCTGTGACACAGTTGAATCGACAACAGATATTTCGGTGCTCCTCGACACCAGAATTCCACTCGCAGGGATGCTGTGCCCTGTCATTCCACAGTCATGATGAAGCCCTCATGAGAATGAAATCAGTCACAGTGGATCCATATGAGAAATACAGGTTGCCAGCTGGCATTGAGAGATCCCGCAGCTCCAAAGTACAAGGGCACGCGCTGGAGGTATTCGCGGGTGGCCAGGAGATTGGATTCTTCACTGCATTAGACCCTATGCTCCGGAAAGTCGCCGCGACTGTGGCAACGACAATTATCAAGCATCTTTGAACGTTGCTGATCCTTTGGAGGGGCTTCAGAGAAATCCAACGGCTGCGCCCGTTCTCCCGCGTTCCCCCTGCCGTTCAATGGTATTGGGGGCCTTGCTCCGGGGTGGGGTCGATGTAGGATTGTTCGCGTTCGGATTATTAGTTAAAAAACCAACGAATGTCGCAACGCGTTCCTCTGAGGGCTGGCACCTGCTCGCGCAGGTTGGCGGGCCCTCTGGGGGGCGGTCCCTCACGCATAGTGCACTTACTGGTCGGCGATGGTATTTCTACCAATGCAGCAGCAGCCAAGCGAGTGTGGAGGTTTCTGGGGCCTGACTGCAAGGCCCGCGGAGTGATTTATCGGTTGGCGACCTGGATATGCGGCAGCCGCGCAGCGAACCTCATTGTTCAGGTGGGCATTTGCGGTCGCATTTTGCCGCTTTTTCAAGTATGTAATATTTGATTACCAAGCAGAGTTCAACATGAACTTGCGTCGCCACGTTGTCGACAACTTGGCCATCGAGACTTCGCCAGGCGACGCAGCGCCCATGTGTCCCCGAGACAGCGCCGACATGCAGAGGCTCTACGGGGTCATGTTTTACGAGAGGGACTCTTGCATTTCTGGAATTGCGGCCTGGGGATATTCGCGCGGCGCGCGCCCGCCAACGCGGGCCCAGTCCTCGCGCAGACGGAGGCTTGTCACGTCCTGGCGAAATACTTGTTCAAAGTGGATGACCGGCCGACGGTCTCCCGCTTTTTCACATTCGCTGATGCGGTTTTCTGTTTGCTGCGCAGGAAATTCTTGGGCCCCCCCCTCGCCGCGCTGAACGCTGGGGCGGCGGTGCCCCGCGCTTTCAATTCCATGCGGTTGAGCGCCGTAGTCGAATGCCTGTCAGATGCCGCCGAAGACAAGCAGGTTCGAACAATAGCCGCCTGCCTGAGGCTCAACCTGGCGGCAGTCTCCATTGCTCCCCGCAAAACCGGTCTCGGCGGTCGCGAAGGGGAGGGACCGTCTCTGGTGCAGCTGGGGAAGGGCGTCGTGCAGTCGCGTGTCGTTCACGAGTTCAAGAGTATATTGCCCGCCTTGGGCGCCGATCTAGACCTCGAGAAGTTGGACTGCGTTGCCGGCCTTCTCGCGACGCTCGGGCACGTCTTTATGCGTTTCCATCGATTCAAAACCTTCCCCACCAGGTCATGGGCGCTTCGCAAGAAGTTGAACCCTGCGGCGTGCCCCCAGAAATTGAATTTCTTCATCGAGTGAGACGACGCGGCCTTCGACGTGGTTTATTCTCTGCCCCTCCAGAAGGAAGCGTTGCGTGGCCGGTCAATTGCGGAGGCCATCGCATACTTGTGCTCGGGCCCGGTGCAGGGGGGGATCCCGCGCATTGCGTCCGCAGCGACGGCGAGCAGCATGGGGGGGAGGCGGCGCAGGCAAGCCGAGCAGGGTGAGACTGTGAAGATGGCGTCAATCAGTCGATGCAGCTGCAACGCCATATTGCAGCGTCATGGGCCCCAGAGAGAGAGAGAGAGAGAGAGAGAGAGAGAGAGGCGGGTTCTCGCGAACATCGAAGAGAAGCGGGCGGCGGACAGAGCAAAGTTCACGCCCTACAAGGCCCTCGCAACGAAGGAGCTCCCGTCAGCTCCCCCGAGGCCTCGAGGCCAGAGGCCCGGTGAGCCCGACGCGCCCGCGGCCGCTAGGCGCGAGATCGCCCGCGCGGGCGACATTGGCGCCCTGCGACTCCACCAGCAAGAGCACCGCGGCCGCCTCAAGCGAGAAGCCGAGGGCATCAGGGAGGCCGCCAAGCAGAGACAGGGGGCAGCGGCCTTCCCGCACGCGAACGAAGAGTGGGCAGCGTGGATGGAAAAGAACGACGCCTTGTGGACGGAGCCGTTGCGCGCGGCCACAGCGGGGAGGCGGGCGCTCAATGCAAAGCAAGTGCCTCTCGGCGCTCTTCCGCCCGCTGATCGGTTGCAGTCTGCGCCAGATGGTGAGCTGGCGCACGTGTGGGCCAGGAAGATAAAGGCCTGCGGCGCTGGGTTCTACGTGCTCGCCGGCCCCGCCTGGTCCCAGGACGACGAGCGGCGCTGGGTTCTCCGAGAGCGCCGCTTGGTGGCGTTCGCCCGCCCCCTCCCGCAGCAGCGCTGGGCCCCCCCGCTGGCGCGGGAGCAAGGGCGTTCCTTTTATATTGACCTTCGGCGAGTGAATGCCGATTTCAAGCCGATTGGGGACGTTGCGCTGGGCGCGAAGTTCACGGCGCCAGAGGAGTTGTCGCTGTCTGAGGCCGTCATGGAGTTTTCAGAGGAGTCCGAGAATGCTGTGGCCCTTCGCTTGAAGCATGCATTCGAAGTTCGCGACGCTGTCTTGCCGGCGGAGCCTCGTGCTCGCAAGGCCTGCGGCGCCGAGGGCGGGGGCGACGACGAAAACGAGGACAGGGTGTCCATCCCCGACTCGGATTCGGAATCCTGCGCGTCCGGCTTGGAACAATCCGCCGAGGACGCCGCGGAGGAGGGGGCTGGTGATGTCCCCGACCCGGACCCCGACAGCAGCTCCGAAGAGGCGGATGACGAAAGCGGGAAAGCGGCGGCTGGAACGTGGGTGACAGAATCGAATGGTTATTTTAGCTACACCAACCACCCGCTGTTGCCGGACGTGAAAGTCCGCAGTTTGCCCCGGTGGTGCCAGGAACACGAGTTAGGCGCCACGCGCATGAGCAAGACTGCGACCTGCCGCCATTATGGAGAAGACAAGATGAACGGTCATCCCATATCCAGCCTGGTGTTGAGAGCGTGAACGTTGTGGAGACTTCACCGCAACGGCTTCCGCGAACGATGTGCCATTCGCCGCGCTTGGCTGGCGGGCCAGGGAGAAAAATTGAGGGATGGGATTAAGGCATTGGGCCACCCTTCTGGGGACACGGGGGCGCCGAAGGGCGACCGCCTGATCAAGACATGGACCAAGACGTTGGGACCATAGGAGCGCGGCAAGCCGTTCGCGGCCTTTGAAAGAAAAGACGTGCCAACAAAAAAACATCGCAACCTCCATAAAATTCCTCGTCTTCGTCAACATCGTCCTCCCCCATATCCACCTCCACTATATCTTCCCCAAAGGGCACCACAAGAGCCCCGAGAGCCCCCAGGAGGCCCAAGGACCCCAAAAAGGATGTGATCCGTCTGACTGTGGGACGCATGCAAAGGATCTGTATGAGTGCGGGTGAGTCTGAGTCTGGGTAGCTTCCCCCCTTCCTGCGGCACCCGACAGCCCGCCCCAGGGGAGGCCAGACGGGGGTGGTGCTCGAGGAGGAAGGAGGGGGAGGAGGAGGAGGGGGAGGAGGAGGAGGAGGAGGAGGAGGAGGAGGAGGAGGAGGAGGAGGAGGAAGAGGAGGAGGATAAGGAGGATAA